ATGTGCCCAAGGCGAAATGCGCGGGCGAATGTGCCAGGGACGGCCCCAACGTAAGTTTTTCGCGCCGCATGGTGGAGCAGTTGCATGTCCTCTTCCGACTCCAAACGCAGGGGCCGCACCGCGGCGCGCACGGCGCACGTTGACAAAGGGCGGACTGCATCAGGGACTGGCAAGTGCGGGGCCTGCGGTCTGCGGGCAGGGCCCTGGAACTGCACCAAAGTCTCCTCATTTCCTGGCGCCAGCGGCTCGTCCGCGCTCGGCCGCGCTGCGGCCGAGAGTTCGCCCAAATGGGCCAAGGCCGCAGCCCTCCCGCCCCTCGCCCCCGAGGGTCGGCCGGATGTGACCGCAGCCGAGGCTTGCGGCGGCTGCAGCAGCCGGGTCCACTCGCCTCGTCGCCAGCCCTCCTGCAAAGCGAAACTGTCGTCTCGCTAGTTGCTGTGACTGCATTGGATGTAGTGTCAAAGCGCACGAAAATTTCGTGTTTTCATTCGCCGCATCATCTCGCTGCGTTCCTCATGTCGGAGCCGAGCCCAGCCAATTTTTTGCGTAAAGCTATAGACGGAAGCATCTGTCTCTGTAAGCCATGCAGTTTGGAAAATTGGGCCATTGACAGCGGCACCGTGTGCAAACCAAGGTTGAGGAAACGCTGGCGCAATTTTGTCGACACAGATTTGCTTAGTAACGTGGACCTGCGTCGCGCGCGCACTGCAAAAATCGAAGCAAATCCTTAAGTTTTTGGCGCCGAAAAAAGGCGTCAAAACCCTCCGTGATTTGACATCGACCACGTCAATCTCCGTGGTGGGAAGATTTTTCGATTCCATTTTTTGCGGAATTTTCCTTCACGCGCGAAATGGTCACATGGAGGACATGTTCAAGTAGTCTATTGTTGTCGACCAACTATCGCGTTTGGACACACAACGCGAGATGTTGCCCCACTGAATACAAAAAGCAGGGTGAGGGATCAAATAAACTCTTTTTAAGCATCAGAAAAACGATTCCTGAAGAGCATTTTTTAATTAGATCAAAAAATCCTCTCGTAGATTTCTTACTAAAATAAAAAGTCAGAGGATCAACAAAAAGCCTACTAGGGATCACCAAAAACCTTCTTCATTTCGTGGCAGGCGCCGAACTTTCGCAAGGCGCGGTACAGATTTCGTGGCAGGTGCAGGATTTTCGCAAGGTGCGGTACAGATACCCCCCCATGATGTTCGAAGAAGTGATGATTCAACAAAGGCTGATGATGATCGAAGAAGCGATGCTTCAGCAAAGAGTGCGTTAATCTCTGAAAACATTCGACAAACCAGCAGGGGGGTTGGGGGGGGCGCGGCACCCCCCACGCATGATGTTTGAAGAAGTGATGGTTCAGCACAGGGTGCGTTAAGCTCTGTCTAGTTCTACAAATCAGCGGGGGGGGGTGGGGGGTGCGGCAGCCCCCCCCATTATGTTCGAAGAAGTGATGTTTCAACAGTAATGATGATTCAAGAAGCGATGATTCAGCAAATTGTGCGTTTATCTCGATAAACATTCTGAAAATCAGCGGGGGGGTTGCGGGGGGTGGCATGTGTTAAGCTCTGTAAGCATTCTACAAATCAGCAGGGGGGTAGGGGGGGCGTCCCCCCCATGATGCTCGAAAATGTGATGATTCAACAAAGGGTGATGATGATCGAAGAAGTGATGATTCAGCAAGTGCATTAATCTCTGTAAACATTCTACAAATCAGCGGGGGTGGTTGGGGGGGGGGCTTCCTTCCTTCCTTCCTTCCTTCCTTCCTTCCTTCCTTCCTTCCTTCCTTCCTTCCTTCCTTCCTTCCTTCCTTCCTTCCTTCCTTCCTTCCTTCCTTCCTTCCTTCCTTCCTTCCTTCCTTCCTTCCTTCCTTCCTTCCTTCCTTCCTTCCTTCCTTCCTTCCTTCCTTCTCCCCATAGGAATGAGAAGAAGCTTCTTTTTGATCCCTAATAAGTGTTCTTTTGATGCCTATCCCACACCAAGCCCCACCGGCCAGTGTCGCTCCCACTCAACGGCAGCTGTCCGCCGGAGCGAGGGTGGCGCGCGGCGCTCTCGAACCCGGAGAAGGTCGGCGACGAGCTTCACCGCGTCTCGGCCCCAGCGCCCTCCAACCTCGCAAGCGAGAACGCGAAGGTGGCGCCGGGTGCCGGAGTTCCGGGTAGGCAGCGAGCTTACATCGCTCTGCCGCACGCCTCGCAACTCAGTGGCGAGACAAGGCCGCCGCCGATTGACGGCATCGACTCGTGAGGCCTGCGGTCGCCAAGCGCATCCGTGGTAGTCCACAACCATGGAGCATGCACTTGGCGAGCGTGAAGTTGCCTCATCTCTGGGGATGGGCAGTGAGCCATGCCCCCCGCTTGGGAGCGAAACATCGCTTGTTGGCAATCTGGGCTGAGGGAAGGCAGCAACACGCGCTCTTAAAGTGGAAGCGTTGAACTGCCATCCGTGCGGCCAGTCGCCTGCTCCGGCGGATCGCAGGGCCTCCCGGCCGCCCGCAATGCAAGCAGTTGGCTGTTGGTGGCGAATTTGTGGATGCGGGTGCGTGCGGGTGCGAGTTGGTTGATGTGCGCAAGTGTATGTGCGTGGCATGTGCGGGCATGTACGTGTGTTAGTGTGTGTTCGCATTAGCTCGTGCCTCCTAGCATGGGGCGTGCAAATCTCTGTGCAGTGCAGGGCTGTTCTGGGCATGTGGTTGAACTGCGTTTCACAGTGGCGTTTCTTGAACTCTCTATGATGCGCAACACCAGATTCAACACGCGCTGGGTGCTTGGAGAGCTCGTTTTTGCCTGTTTTGCACGATGCCTTGGAGCATGTTGGCGCCACACAGGCAGCGGAGCCGTTTTCCAAGATCAGAGCTGTTGGAGCATGTGCTTTAGCTTCTGGTTTGCGGCATGCTTTTGTCTCAACCAGAAAAGACTTTGACCTAATGTTCGCACTTGCCGATTTGGTCGACAAATCAACCTGCAAGGCGTGCAAAGGCGGCAATGCCAACAGCTTAGGCACAGGGCTCTGCAGACACATTGTGCCGCAACTCACCTAGTTCGTTTTGCAAGAAGGCCATGCCGACTGCCATGCTCTGAAAACGACGGCGCGAGAAACACTTCCGGCAATGCTCATCTCAGCGGCGTGCGCTTTCCCACGATTGTCATGGGACAGAAGCATCAAGAGTGCTATCTTGAGAAGGCCATGAACATCTTTTTGCCTGGCTCTCGTGTGGAGCATAATAGGGCAAAGAAAGAGCCGTACGGTTGGCACAGAATCCACAGTGCGCCAGTCGAGCAGCAACCGTCCTAACCGTTGGGGAAAGAAGCTACTTGACTTCTTATAGCTTCACAAGCCCAATGAATTAGACTAGCTGTCAGAACCAAGGCTTGACGAGTTCTTCCAGTCAGCTAGCAGTTCACTGCACTCTTGGAGTTAAGCGATATCATATTGGCGATAACTTGCTAAAGGAGTCAGCCTTGCGCAAACGACTGATTTCCAGAAAGAAGTGTTCAATGGACTGCGCTGAATACTAGCTGTGTTCCAACTTGAACTTGATCAGTGACTCTCATGTTCTGCAGATAATTTGGGCGAGCGTACCCCATGCTTTGCTACCGTGGATGACAGTGAGTCTTGACCATTGCCAATATTCTGATAGAGTAAGGTTTCATGAGGGGTCAATGGCATGCATGGTCGATGCACTGGAAGCCCATGCGGATGGCTGCATGCGAATGCCGTGCGGCGGCAACGTGACTGGCAAAGGGCGAGGTGCAGGGAACAATGTCAGGAACAACCCAACCAGCTGCCATAAACAGTAGGAAGCCAAAACCTCTCCAATGTCTTTGTATGTTTGTATTTTTGTTGGCTTGTGTCTGCTTGTGTGTGTGTGCTTGTGTGTGTGTGTGTGTGTGTGTGTGTGTGTGTGTGTGTGTGTGTGTGTGTGTGTGTGTGTGTGTGTGTGTGTGTGTGTGTGTGTGTGTGTGTGTGTGTGTGTGTGTGTGTGTGTGTGTGTGTGTGTGTGTGTGTGTGTGTGTGTGTGTGTGTGTGTGTGTGTGTGTGTGTGTGTGTGTGTGTGTGTGTGTGTGTGTGTGTGTGTGTGTGTGTGTGTGTGTGTGTGTGTGTGTGTGTGTGTGTGTGTGTGTGTGTGTGTGTGTGTGTGTGTGTGTGTGTGTGTGTGTGTGTGTGTGTGTGTGTGTGTGTGTGTGTGTGTGTGTGTGTGTGTGTGTGTGTGTGTGTGTGTGCTTGTATGTGTCCTTTTGTGTGTGTGTGCGCCTTTTTGTGTCTCTGCGTATGTGTTGGTGTGTGTGTGTGTGTGCGTGTGTGGGTTCGTTTGTCCGTGTGTGTGTGTGTGCTGAAATTGTCCGTGTGTGTGTGTGTGTGCTTGTGTGGCTGTCTTTTGTTTGTGTGGTTGTGTGGTTGTGTGATTATGAGGTCGTGAGGTCGATTGTGTGAGTGTGTGATTGTCTGTGTGTGTGTGGTGTGTGTTTCTGTGTGTGTGTGTGGTTGTGTGTGCTTGTTTGATTTTGTGTGGTTGCGCGCCTTTGTGTGCTCGTTTTTTTTTTTTTTTTTTTTTTTTTTTTTTCGGCGTGTGCGAACTCGTATCTTTTTATGACTGCGTGCGCATGTGCGAGTGCATCTGCAGTAGCATCTGTGTGGCTGTGGTGCGTGTGCGCGCGTGCGCGTGTGCTGCGTGTGCGTGTTCGTGCCCTTGCGTGAAATCCTGCGATTTAGAACTGCGGCACTATCTTACGCACGGGGTCAAGAGTAAACGAGTAGTCTGTGGTGCCGCAGCGCTGCCACCTGCGGTTACCTATTCAAAGACCAGTTTCTGTTTAGGATGCTCAAGGTGTTTTGTGCCTAATTTCAAGGATGCAATGTGTTTTGGACATGCCGGTTTGATTCCATTGACGTTGCAACGCATGACATCCCCAGTTCGTCGCAAGGGAATACACGAATCGCACCGTGTCGGCGCCAACTTCGCTGCAGCAAGCACAACACATGCAGAGCAACCTTTTCGACCGTTCTTTCTCATGCTTCCGGTGATGCGCAAGGCTGCCATAGGCTGCCCTGCATCTCGTTGACACTCTTTCCACTCTCCTCTCCTGACACTTTCTTCCCATTCTCTCTCGATCACGCTTCCCTCGCGCGCTTTGAATTTGGTCTCTAAGAAAACATTGGACGTTCGGCTCAGCTCTCCGCCTTCTTGTCCGCAAAGATCTAGGCACGGGCGCGCTTTGTTCATCTCTGGCTTGCGGAGAAGTCATGGACATGTCACAAAAAATCCTCTGTATCTCTCTGTATCTCTTCCAAGGGGCATAAGGGATGGGGTAGGAGTCAGACTCCATTCTCTTGAAGACATACACACTTCCCACTTCGTCCTCCTGGACCATGGTCTCATCGCTGACGTGCTTGAACGTCACCCCCACCGGGCCGTCACCCTTGAGCTTCATCGGCTTCATATATCTGTCCTGACCGCGGGGAAAAAACTCGGGGAGGGAGCTGAGCTCCAAAAGTCCGAAGAAACATCCAGAGGTCATCCAGAGGATGTAAGGAGGGGATCCTTTAAGAAACACCCTCTGGGATGTTTCTGGTATACAGAGGATCTTGAAGGAATTCTCCCAGGATGTTTCGCAGTATCCCAGGGTATCCGAAGATCTTACAGAAACACGAGACACTCCCGCGGAATTGTGCAGAGGTTGGCCATCAGAACTTTATACGCGCAAAGTAGTCTTGCATGCAGACGGTTTCTACTTAGGTGGATTACCCTCAGCACGGGCAATTATCATGACTTAGTCTCACATCCTAGCAATTGTCCACAAAAGATGGAGTCGACATGATGTGCGACCGGGTCTTTGCAGAAACTTGGATTTCACACGTGGCTCCAGAAGGACCTGAATGCGAATTTGGGGCCTTCATGTACAAGATATTCGGGCAATGCGGTTTGGGGGGATGGTCTTGAAAGGAGATCAACATGACTCCAAATGCTTGCAGACCATTTTCACAAAATCATCCCCTCCCTGCGGGTGTCCCCATTCTTCGACTCCAAGCCGCCAGCCCCGTAGACCTGATGGCCTCTCGGCTCTCCGCAGAGCCGTGACGGGAGGGCACGATCTGGACCTCCTTGAAGTCGACGGTGCCTGCGCATCCGGAAGCTGCGAATGGCTTCGCCCCCTTTTCGGGGAGCGGAACCTGTGCTAAGTTGAGAGTCATCTATGGTGGAAGCTCAGCTGGAGTGAGCACAGAACGTGTGTGGCCGCATTGTGAATCAACATGGATGGCGAAAAAAAGAAAAGAAACATCCTCCAGTGCACACATGCTGCGGTCCGCAAACAGTGTGCCACGCAAGGAACGCTCTGGTGCACCGGCGCTCCACTGGACTTCCTGCACTGCATGCGGAACACTGATGCTCTTTGGCAAATCAAAAGTGCCTTCAGGAGACCTGAGTCAAGATTTGATGAATCTCCCGCAGTCCTCTGCACTGCTAATTAGCTTGTAGGGAGCCAAGTGCCGCCCCGTCCCTCGCCTGAAGCACCAGATTTTGCTGGCTTGAAGGGGCCAGACATCATCAGGGCTGCATTGGTCCTCTGGATGCCATCCTCAGCTGAGCTGCACCGCGCGAACAGCACCGTTCAGCGCGCTCACTCTCTCTCTCTCTCTCTCTCTCTCTCTCTCTCTCTCTCTCTGTCTCTCTGTCAACATCTCTGTCAGTTCTGTTCCTCCCTTTCGTTCTGCACATGTCACGTGCCAACCGCAGCCCGCGCTGTGCGCCCCGCCGCGAGCCCCGCATGCATGAGGTTTTCGAAGCTTTGTGCGGGTCGAGATTCCATGATGAAGGCCATCAGCCAGTAGTACTTCCCATCCTGAATGAGGTTGTACTGCCGGTAGAACTCCACCATGGTGTTGGGCAGCTGGTCGCACACCAGCCGCAGGAGGGTCTTTTTGGTGGGACCCAAGCTGTTGCTGTCCCAGGTGACCTGGCGGAATGGCCATGGCCGTTACAAAAAAGCAACCCATGAATTCGCCTTAAACTCGAGCATCATCGTCGTTGTCCTTCTACGAAACCCTTAACACACAACGCCCACCGAGCGTCAAACCACGCTTTGGGAAGGCTTTGCTTCAACCCAGCAGTTCGCGCTTTATGCCGCCTGCCAGTCGCCGTCGATCTTCGACATGGCAGATTTCGCCGGGGCAGGGAGTGCCTCGATGGCCTTTGTGACCCGATCCTTGTTCCCCGACTTCACCGCCGAAAGAAGACCTTCTTCCTCCGCACCAGCCTTCATGAAAACCTTGGCCAGCGGTTGCACGCCGATTTCAAGTGCGGATGAACCTACCGGAACAGTGGTCATCAAAATCTCGGCAAAGTGTGCTAGAATTCCAAAAGCTGAATTAAGGGATCCCACAGTAGACTAGAGGACCTTTATCATGGAGAGCTCGTTATACCCCCAGGATAGCTCGCTAAAATAGGCAGACATCCTGGCGCAATGAATGGGCGGTTTCGCACATGAAAAGAGCGATCCAAGTGGATTCCCCAGCGCCTCCGGCTTCCTGGGCTCGCCGAATCTGCCCGCAAGAGCGGAAGCCTGGCGGGCTTTGAAAACCAAAGGGCCGCCCCACGACCGCAGTTCTCAACGCTCAAATTCCTTGCAGTGCGCGCTCATTCTAGAATCCATGTCTGTATCACCCGTGGCTCGGGCCGTTGGCTCTTAGGTGGCCTGCCTGGCGAGCTGGAAAATCAGCTTGAAAATTTGCTGCGCAAGAGCTTCCCAAGAAGCCTCGGGTGGCAGAGGCATCAGCGAGATGATCCCCCATGCACCTCACCTCTTGGGTCTGAGATCAAAGCTGTTGCACCCTCAAAACGCCCGAAGCCTATGGGAAAAATCAACATGGGAATCCTTGCTCCCGAAACCTCCGCATGTGATGCCCAGCAGCCTGGCGCTGCGCCGAGCCCTGCCACCACCACGAAGGCGAGTGCGGATCGACGTCTCAGCGTCATGGCGAGAAATCGGCTGCGGTGCGGGGGGACCGGATCTGCAGCCGAGACCCACGCCGTTTCAACCGACATCCAAGGAGGCGATACCAACTCGCAGCAATTCACTCAACATGAAAACAAATGGGGGCGAGGGGCCGGAGAGCACAGCCAAAAGCCAAATATCCAAATGGTGGGCACCCTACTTTTGAGACAGATATTGAACACAAGGAACGAACTGTAATATGCCTAAACACTGGGATTGCCATAGCTTCTGGCGCGCAAACGAGCAGTGTCTGTTGCAAGCAACAGCCACCTGACCAGTCCGCATGTGCCCAGCTGCGCCACAACTTTTGTATCCAACTGGTCGCACCCCAAGCTTTCCTCTGGCAATCTGACACTCTCTGCCTGCCTGAATCTGCAAACTAGTGCACCTGCTAAGCACATCTAGCAAACGCAAGGTTTACTTGTGACCAGAACCACCAGGCAAAAACTGTTGCCAGCAAGGCGCCCTTGCGCACTTGGCCATTCCCTAACTGTGGCGATCGAATCTTTGGATCGCGGGAGGTCCCACTTGCCGCTTCCCTAGACCTCACGTCCACCGCGCCAGCGGAGAACCGCGCGCGGCCGTCACCAGGTCGGGCAGTCGTTGAAGGTCCGAGCGAAGTCCTCACGGAAACCCGGTCCGTTGAACCTTGGCCGGACGTTCGGATTCGAGCCTCCAGGCCCGAGACATCCCGAATGGGTGTGGCTCAAATTTCACAGGAGGGGTTACGCAGGTTTTGGGCAATTTTTCCACTTAACAGGGTTCCATTTTGGTACCAGTTTTTTGACCCACACCCAAATGAATCTGCATATGACCAGAAGCCCTCCGAAGGCACGGCACGCGGCGAGGTTCCGTCCGAGGTTCTGGCCGGCCACCAACGTCAAAATCATCGTCGAAACCTGCACAGCAATCGCGACTGCAAAACTCCCTAAGGGGCACATCAATTGCTGCTCTGCGGGCATTCGGGGCATGTCACCATTGCCACAATCTTGCTTCTACCCACCCCCATAGAGTAGGGAACAACGCAACAAACAACCGAACAAACCCGTTCTCGCAAAGCCCAAGCTTCAATCTACCTGAAAACGCCAATGGTCCCTATCCCAAACCTTCCTCTTTGCCACCATAGGAATTTTCCTAAACAAAGGAGAACAAGTCGCGGCCCCAGAAAATCACCTTCCAGTCGAGCCCTTCATTTCTGCGCCGCTTGGCCCCAACTCCAAGCAACTCCGGGCCTGGACCCATTCGGCGCGGGCCCACGCTCCTGCATTGCCCATGGGCGACGGTGGGCAGTCTTTGAATCAAAGTGCCCGGCAAACCAACTGGAACGAACTTGGCGTTCTGCATGTCAAGGTGCCGTTCAACATGCTAGAACTCGCCTGCGTAAATCTATTGGGCCAAATGTGTCTACATTTTGCACGCATGAAATCCCAATGTGCCTTGCTAGATTTAAGCTCACACTCAAGGGAAAACCATGTGTGTTGTGAGAATCTTATATGCATGTCGGCGTTGTGGAACTATCTGATGATTGGTATGTCACCCTGCGTCTCTGTGCACGGTTACCTTGCACTTCTGGCAGTTGTTTCAGGATCTGGCTCAAACACACCGCAAAGCGGCCACCCCTATGCTGCACGGACCCCACCTGCTGCGGCCCCTCGACCCGCCGCCGCTGCGCATCTCCCCCGAGGCCTTCGTAAGAATCAGGTGGGTACTGCATCAAATAAGGAACCAACAAAAATTGTGGTTTTGCTTCGTGTTTCCCAGGGGCACCCTCAAGAAACACGCTCACACACGCACACACTCACACATACCCACACCCAGATGCGATTCTTGAAGCGTGCTTCTTGACGTCACAATTGTGTGGGTTTTGTGTGATTCCATCAAAATTGGGTGACATCCAAAGCAATATTTTCCGTGACATTTTTGAGGCGCCCGCAAAGATAAGAGCCCAAGTCGAACAAAAGCTTCTCTATTACACCACCGACATAACTTTTACCCCGAAGTCCCAATTTCTTTGAGCCAAACCCAAGTAGCTTGTCCTTTGCACACCTTTCAAATGGCAACCGGGCAGGTACCTGGACACAAGTACCCACCATGCTTGTCGTTCCATCAACCTTCAGTGGCCGGTGAACATGTGTGAATCGAGCAGAGTCCAGATCAGCGCCCATCAGATAGGTGCAGACCAGCTCATCGTGAATGCGCAGCTGCACTAACCAGCAGTTTGCTGACCTTCATCACGCAGCATTTGGCTGAATGGAAACTTGCACTTCGACCCAGACTCGAGTTCCAAATTTGGTCCATTCGGCGCTACTACGGATGGACTACTGCCCAGCAGTACGCCGAGTACCAGACTTGGCATGGCCACGAACATACCGTGGGAGCAGATCAGCCCTCGCCGTTGGCCATGATCACGTGCAAGCCTAATTAGCAGACCAGGCGATCCAGGTCAAGCAGTTCTGCGACCGCCAAGCAACTTCGGCGTCTACTGGCGCAGAAATTCGCAATCGCTTTCGGCATCGAGACGGGCATCTGGCCTCCAGCCCTCCTTTCCCGCGTGCGAGTGCTGAAACCGGCAGAACTACGCCAAGCGCAATGGATCTTTGCGGCCTTTCAGTGGCAGAGAAAACAAATGAGCCCCCCTTAAAACTGTTTTTCTCTTTTTTTGCTTTTCTTCCTTCTGGGCTCCACACCGCCCCAAGAAACGCCGTAGCGAAGAAACGCCGTCCAAAACGGCCCCCGGCCAGGCGCTGCTCCAGCTCTGCGGGCACCTGCAGCTCCATGCGCCTGGCGATCATCTTGCGGCTGCGTGAGGGACGCAGCCGGAGGTGAGCAAAGGGAAGGAACTTGTGGTTTTTTTCACGGGTTCCGGGGAACCCCCGGCAACTTGCGGAGGTCCCATCGTCTCGCGGGTCTTTTCTTGGCCATCCCGGAATGAACGGCTGACGGGTGTTCTATGGGAAGCCACCAGTAGGGGCATTCATGTCATTCCAACTCTCATTCTTTGAGCGCCTCTCCCACCCTGAAAAACCCGCCGGAACCGTTGACGTTTGTTTTGGGGGTCCTGATTTGGACCAGTTTCCGTTTAAAAGGGCCCCCTCCTTGTCAGGCTCCTTGTTGATTGGTGGGAGGGTAGAAACAGTTCCTTTGCTAGGACAGCCAAAGGAAACGGTATCAGAGCTTTGCGAACGGGAAGAATCAGCGAAGGGAGGGAGAGGGAGAGAAAGGGGAAAGGGAAGTGAAAAGGGAAGGGAAGCGCAAGGCAGGGAAAGAAGGAGGAGGGAAGGCGAAAGGAAGAAATTCGCTTTCCGACTACTCCATATTTCACTTTGGCCTTCAAGGTGGGAGGCGCGCGTGTCAAATCTGAAAACAATCTCATGAGGTCCTGGACTATCTCCTGGTTCGACAAACAGATTAGAGGTCCAGTGGGGAAATGGTGGACCCTGCAAAATGCTGCCAAGGAGACTATGTGTCCGTGAGATGATTCATCCAAGGGTTCAGTTGCCCCTGTAAGCTCAAGACTTCGCCGGCGTTTCTTGAAGATGTCAGCCTTGGTTGCGCATGTCGCAGCATGCCGCAGCATGCCGGGCATCGTGGACAACGCGTGCAGCAGGAAATTCATCAGTCTTTCTTCCCACGACATGTAACAAGCCTACAACAGTGGTTCCTCACATCTGCCAACCCTGTTTGCGAGGGGCCGAAACCGGAAAGGTGGCCACATGCTTCGATTTCGCAAAAATTATTCATGTTCTTCAACTCATACCTCGAATCCAAAGCAGGCATTGGATTCGCCCGGGGTTGGATTTGCATGTTCGAATCCTCGGCTTCTGAGGTCCCCTGGACACCGAACTCTGCCGAGCCACGATGCTCCGTGCCGCACCCCCATCCTCGTTGGTGAGGAAAGTCCAGGCGGTGCCTCACAGCGTCGGCGCCCCAAATGGGAAGGGAGCTAAGCTGAGCTCTTGAAATTTTGGTGATCCTGAGAAACACAGAACGATTCCCCATGTGGCCACCCTTGTTTCTGAGAATAATTAGTACGTGGGCAAAACAACACAAGTATACTTGGAAAATCGGCCACCCCATAAGAATGGCTTCCTGTCTGTTTCTTATAGATCGCCTCGCCTACAACTTCTGCTGCAGATAAATGCGTGATTTTCGCTCGGAGCGGCCCCTTGCTAAAATGAGATCCACTCCATGTCAGGCACATGGCAAGACCCGGCTGGCCAGTGAGGAATCGCTGGAGCAGCGCGCGTCATTGATGCTGCAAGGAGAAAGGAATGAGCGAGGCATGCCCCAAAATTTCAGTCTCGTTGTTCAGAAGCAGGACTCAGAGCGGCCTAAGTCTAGCTTTGAGATGATTTGCACTATAGAAGCCTCACACAGAAACGTTACGTAGCAGAGCTGGCGCTTGTTGAGCGTCTGCTGCAAAGAAACTGAACAAATGCATGTGAACCATGCGATGCAAGAAAGCAGGGTCGAAGATAACATCCAAGAAGACCGCACCTCGTGCTAGCACTACCCAGTTAATATTATGTCAAGTGGGTGCACGTCATAGACGGTGGCCTTTTTGACCAGCTCGGCCAGTGCGGCCAACGCGATGGACATAGTCCTGGTGGGCCAGGGAGGCTATGTGTGCCGGTCTATTGCTGTTCGAACTAAGATATTTTGCGCGCCTTGCGCCAACCCTAATCCCTAAGGCAAACATGGTGCAGTGTTGTTCTGGCCTCTGGGATGCCTGATATGGCCAAAATCCGTGAACATCCGAATCCCCACTAAAATAGGTTCTAAAATGGGTGGTGCACCTACCCCAAAATGGTACCATTGGTTTTGACCCACAGCCATATCTGATATGGCAATGTCTGCAATGGTAGCGAAGCGCTGCTGCTCATGCTCCCGTCTCCTCTTCGCGGTTCGGCGGATCGAAATTCACCACCACTTTCACTGCCTGAGAAATGTCGCGGTGGAGAGCGGGGATAGGGCTTCCCCTGAACCTCCAAGAATACTCCCCGCTTCGCACAACTCACCTTGCGGTGCTTCAAAGGAAAGTGATCAAAATCGTGGTGTGGGTCAGGCTCACCTGCGGTTCGCACCAGAACTCAGGCACAAACTGCGCCGACGTCTGAACAGGCATAAGCCCCATGCTGCACAATGTGTTTAAGAAATGAGCGTCCGTATGTCAGGTTCTTTGAGAACGCAAATCATGGTCCTCGTTCGTCTTGCAGCTCGGAGATTGATGATGCAGTAGAAAGCTTCAAGCAAAACAGCAGAACTACCAATTTTCCCACATCTGTCACCCTTGAGGATGATCGGAACCGGCTGCATCTCAAAGAGTTGTCCGGCCCCGAACGGCATTTCAACGCGTCTGCCTTTGACTTTGCTGTTAGCCCCAAAAAAACACATGATCGTAAACGTTTCAGCTCACCTCTGTCCCCAAACGCCCGCCTTGATGTCCAGCCCCCGGGCAGCCACATCCGTGGCCACCAGCGTGCGCATGCTGCCCCGCTTGAAGTTCCCCAGCGCCAAGTCCCTCTCACGCTGGTCCTCTCGCACCGGGGTCTACAGGTAAAACCAGTGGGCCCCTTGAGAGCTTGGCTTGGATTCAAGTTATTCATTCGGGCCCGGCAGGAGCGAACTGACGCCGAGCAATTTAAGGGCCGAACTCGGCAAAGTCAACGCAGGTTTTATGCAAGCAACAAAGGAAAACAACGCAAAGGGGTTGATCAAGCGAAGAGAAGAATGCAAACATGTTTTGCTGAAGACTGCTCCGGCGAAAGTCTGCGCAGGGTGTGTGTGTGTGTGCTTTTCAGGTTGCACAGTTGTGTGCTCTTCATCTCGCTGGCTTTGATTTCGATATCTGCGTCGACAGCTGTTGCTCAAACACAACCTGCGAGTATAAAATAGGATCCTATCTTGCTCCGAGGGGTTTAGCATGGTCGCCTAAGCGCTTGCAGCGTGTCAGGTTCAGCACGCGAGCTGGTTCTGGCTTTTACTCGTAATGCCTGGTTCTGGTCACAAACATGATTAATTGCAGGCTAGTTTCGGCATTGTTGATAGGAATTGGGGAGACCACTGGTGCAGAAGAACACAAGATGGTGATTTGTCGCTTCACGTAGAATTGGATGTCAATGTCAAACGCAATGGCTGCCTCGTGCAAAGGAGGATCCACTTGTGTCATACGCCTGCATTAGTCAATTGATTTGCAACATCAAGGCTCTAAAGTCAGAAAGAAACAAGACTTCCAACCAAGGACACTTGGCTCACATCTGAAAGCAAGACGTGGCAATCGAAGCACGGGCCGCATCCAAGTCCATCCTAAAATGGCGACACTCCCCCAAGGCATCTTCACTTCCCGTCTCTTGCAAACAAAGGCTCCTGAATTTGGCGCGTGGTGACCTTGTGGAAAAACAGATGGCCGTGCTAAATGGGAAAAAAATCTAAGCCAGTGCCATCTGTTTGCGCAAATTAGCCTAACAAGAACACCTATGTTCATAGTCCTCAGGACTTGCACGCGCAAAAACGCACAATGAGTCCTTGTCACCGTGGATGGCCATGCTATGGGGCGTCCGCAGCGACACCATTTCGCCTCAGGCGACGCCGTGCCCGTCTTTCAAGCTGGTAAGCATGTTCAGCTTCAGCCTTCATGGCCCTGCCAATCTAAGTCGTATCACCGACGGGCCAGCAATCCTTGTGGTGCCACAATCAGAATAGACGGTGTTTTCTCGCGTCTTCAATGCTGAGTTGCACATCCGCTTTGTGTTGACGAAGATGATGCACTGGTCCTGGCCGCTCTCCCGGAGGATCTTGTCAAGTCTTTCTTCTTTGTCACGCATGTCCTGCGAAGTGTGCACCCACCAACGGCTTCCATCAGCTTGGAAGTTGGGTGTGAAATCAATCTGACACATCAAGCTCCATGTATGTGCGAAAAGACAAGCGAAATGAAAACTGCTTGCAACTCAACTGCCAAATAAATAGCATCAATATATATCAGGAATCATACGCACGTCAAGTAGTAGCAAGAAAGTCAGGGGTAACGCAAGCTTGAAGGGGCGAGCCAAATGACGACCCAATGCAAGCCAAGTTGCAGAGCAGAACACTACGTGCTGAGTCACATCTGGGTTGACCTCAGGTGCTTCAAAAGCCTTGTTCTTCCCCACCAGGTCACGAGCTCTTGGACATTCTTCATTTCTGCCTGTGCAATGTGTATACATATATGTATATATGTATAGGTGCATACATATGATATATGTATATATGTGTGCGTTTGTCCGTGGCTTGCTGAAGTTTGCCTATTTTGTTGAAGTTCCCTTGACATCCGAAGCATTCCCTCATCACCCCTTCGAATTTCTCCCTGGACCGTCTCGCCAGATCTACCAGGCCAACAAAAAAAACGTGTGAGCGCTTTCAAGAGCTTCTGTGTCTCAAGTGTTCGCCCGTGGCGTCCACTTCGATTGGGCAGGACTGGATGATTTGTGGTTCTTCAATATACAAGGCTTTATGTGACAAACCCCCGTAATGCTTGAGGTAAGAGGTTTTTGCCGTGCCAAAATGGGGTGGCGCAAAGGGGTGGCACGAAGCGTGGCAGAAAATTGCGGCCCCGTTTTGGCCGGCAAAAAGGGGTGGCAAGAAATTGCGGCTGCCCGCTTTTTGGCCGGCAAAAAGGGGTGGCAGGAATTTGCGGCTGCCCCGTTTTGGACGGCAAAAAGGGTGGCAAACAGTTGCGGCTAGGAGTTGGAGTGGAGTTGAAGTGGAGTTGGAGTTGGAGTTGGAGTGCGGTTGAAGTGGAGTTGGAGGAGTTGCAGTTGGAGTGGAGGGGTGGAGTTGGGTTGGAGTCGGAGTGAAGTTGTAATGGAGTCGCAGTGGAGTTGCAATGGAGTTTGAGTGGAGTTGCAGTGGAGTTGGAGTGAAGTGGAGTCGGAGTGGGGTTGGAGTGAAGTTGGAGTGGAGTTGGAGTGGAGTTGGAGTTGGAGTGTAGTTGGGTTGGAGTGGAGTTTGAGTGGAGCCGGAGTGGAGTTGTACTGAAGTTGGGTGGAGTTGAAGTGGAGTTGGAGTCGAATGAAGTTGGAGTGGAGTTGGAGTGGAGTTGGAGTGGGCTTGGAGTTTGAGTGGAGTTGGGTTGGAGTTGGAGTGGAGTTGAAGTGGAGTTGGAGTGGAGTTGAAGTGGAGTTCGATTGGAGTGGAGTTGGAGTGGGGTTGGAGTGGAGTGGAGTTGGAGTGGAGTTTGCGTGGAGTCGGAGTGGAGTTGTAATGGAGTTAGAGTGGAGTTGGAGTTGGGGTTGGAGTGGAGTTGGAGTTGGAGTGGAGTTTGAGAGGAGTCGGAGTAAAGTTGTAATGGAGTTGGAGTGGAGTTGGAGTGGAGTTGGAAAGGAGTTGGAGTGGAGTTGGGTTGAAGTGGAGTCAAAGTGGAGTTGGAGTGGAGTGGAGTTGGCGTGGAGTTTGAGTGGAGTTGGAGTGGAGTGAAGTTGGAGTGGAGTTGGGTGGAGTTTGAGTGGAGTTGGAGTGGAGTTGTAATGGAGCTGCAGTGGAGTGGGAGTGGAGTTGGAGTGGAGTGGAGTTGGAGTGGAGTTGGAGTGGAGTTGGAGTGGAGTTGGAGGAGTTGGAGTGAGTTGGAGTTGGGTGGACTTGGGTTGGAGTGTTGGAGTGGAGTTGGAGTGGAGTTGAAGTGGAGTTGGAATGGAGTGGGAGTGGAGTTGGAGTGGAGTTTGAATGGAGTTGGAGTGGAGTTGTAATGGAGTTGGAGCGGAGTTGAAGTTGGGTTGAGGAATAAGAGGTGGGGGGGGAGGAAGACGGGGGGGTGGGAGGGGATCCGCGCTGCTCGCATCGATCCGGATCCGGGCTAAAAGCCAGAGAGGGGCCACCAAACGCATCGGACAGCGCGAAACAGCGGGGATCAGCGTGGATCAGCGCGGATCAGCACGGATCGATCGGCGCGGATCGGAGCGGATCAGCGCGGATCAGCAGCGCGGATCAGCACGGATCGATCGACGCGGATCAGCGCGGATCAGCGCGGAACAAGGCGGATCAGCGCGGATCAGCACGGATCGATCTGCGCAGATCAGCGCGGATCAGCGCGGATCAGCGCCGATCACCACGGAGCAGCGCAGATCACCGAGGATCAGTGCGGATCAGCACGGATCGATCGGCGCGGGTCAGCGTGGATAAGCGCGGATCAGCGTGGATAACCACGGAGCAGCGCGGATCAGCGCGGATCAGCACGGATCCGCGCGGATAAAAACTAAAAAAGGCCACTCCAATGCATTTGGGCCCTTTTCTGGCTTTTACCCGGATCGATGTGTCCCCATCAGCACGGAGAAGCGCGGATCACCCCCCAACCCCCCACCTCTTATTCCTCAACCCCACTTCAACTCCACTCCAACTCCACTCCAACTCCACTCAAACTCCACTCCAACTCCACTCCACTCCAACTCCACTTCAACTCCACTCCAACTCCATTACAACTCCACTCCAACACTCCAACTCCGCTCCAACCCTACTCCAACTCCACTCCACTCCAACACCATTACAACTCCACTCCGACTCCACTCAAACTCCATTCCAACTTCACTCCAACTCCACTCCAACTCCAGTCCAACTCCACTCAAACTCCACCCAAGTCCACCCAACTCCAACTCCACTCCAACTCCTCCAACTCTTCTCCAACCACTTCACTCCAACTCCACTCCACCCCCGCTCCAACTCCACTCCCACTCCACTCAAACTCTACTCCGACTCCAACTCCACTCCACCCGCACTCCAACTCCACTCCAACTCCACTCCAACTCCAGCCCAACTCCACTCCACTCCAACTCCAATTCCACTCCAACTCCATTACAACTCCACTCCGACTCCACTCAAACTCCAACTCCACCCCCAACTCCACTCCAACTCCACTCCAACGCCACTCCAACCCCACTCCAACTCCACTCCAACTCCGCTCCGACTCCACTTCAACTCCACCCCCACTCCAACTCCACCCCGACCCACTCCAACTGCATTTCAACTCCACTCCAACTCCACTCCAACTCCACTCTAACCCCACTCCAACTCCACTTCACTCCAACTCCACTCCAACTCCACTGCAACTCCACTCCGACTCCACTTCAACTCCACTACTCCACTCCAACTCCACTCCAACTCCAAGCCCACTCCAACTTCACTCCAACTCCACTCCAACTCCACCCCAACCCCACTCCAACTCCACTCCACTCCAACTCCACTTCAACTCCGCTCAAACTCCACTCCACTCCAACTCCACTTCAACTCCACTCCAACTCCACTCCAACTCCACTCCAACTCCTCTCCAACTCCACTCCAACCCCACCCCAACTGCACCCGACTCCAACTCCAACTCCACTCCAACTCCAATACAACTCCACTCCAACTCCAATAAAACTCCACTCAAACTCCACTCCAACGCCAACTCCACCCCCACTCCAACTCCACTCCAACTTCACTCCAACTCCAACTCCACCCCCACTCCAACTCCACTCCAACTCCACTCCAACTCCACTCCAACGCTACTAGTAATACTACTGCTAAGGGGCGTACCCTTTTTTGATCAAAAGGGGTGGCAGAAAAGGGTGGCAGATTGGGCCGCGCCCTTTTTGGTGGTCAAAAGGGGTGGCAGAAATTGGCAGCACGCCCCTTTTTGGTGGTCAAAAGGGGTGGCAGAAATTGGCGGCAAATAAAAGGGGGCGCAGCCAAATCTGCCACCCCTTCTGCCACCCCTTTTGACCACCAAAACGGGCGGGCGTCCAAACCTGCCGCCCCTTTCTGCCACCCTTTTGACCACGAAATTGGCCGTCAGGATGGCTTGAAACATGCTATGTCCAAAATTGCAATTTCCTAACCATAAGCACTACGGGAGCCAGTCAAGCTTTATGCCAAAGGCGTTTTCATCACTTTCTTGGGTAAGTTGCGGACCTCTCACCGACCCCTCGCTTTTTCACACTCATCTGTCCTTGCTCCAACCTCCCTCAATACATTTGCACCTCAAGCTTCGTTTATTCCAAGCTGGACTCCCCGGACTAGCACCTAGAACAAACCCCCCCCCCCCTGCTGACCCCCCCTTTCCCCCCAAACCCCCCCCCCACTTCCCCTCCCCCGCATCCATTGCAGGGCCAGGCGCCCGCAGCTCATCCGCCTCGCCGGCGCGGACCTCCACGGGGTTCTGCAGGAAGTCCGCAGCCAGGCGGCGGATGCTCACCGGCCAGGTGGCCGTGAACATCACCGTCTGCCGCTCCTCCCGAGCAGAAGAAGACGGCTGGCTGCTGGGGTTGGGGCTCTGCAAAGTGGTGCTTCTGGCTTCTGGGAATCAAACAAAAAAAACAGAGTTGGGCTCAAGAAAAAGTTTGGCTGGAGAGATTCAGAGAAGAGCTTGGGGACTTGTTTGGAAGGCTCGGCTGCTGGATGGCTTCATGTGCCTCCAGATGGTGCTTAAAAGACATTAGATGGCTATAGCGTAGCTTGACGCTTGTGGAGTGGATCGGTGCTTCCGCGCAATATCGGAATGTCGAAATTGCAAAATCCTTTGCAGAAAGCCCAATTCCCCCATGCCAGGTGGGCAGAAGGTATCCTGGCCTTTGCTTCCCACAAAGAGCCATCAGTGGCAGCTTCTCACCCAGTCCTTCGGCAGCCCTGCGATGATCTTCCGGATCTGCGGCTCAAAGCCCATGTCGAGCATCCGGTCCTCAGGCGACGCGAATGAGGAGACATGGCCCAGCCCGCCACAAGCTGGGCCAGAACAAGTACATCTAACAGGAAAGCCGGGATCGACACAGGGGCGTTCTTCGCAGTGCAACAAGTGAAAGGTGCCGCTGTTGAAACAATCTCCCCCCCCCCCTCAGCAATATTCCCCCCCCCCCCCCCTTCAGCAATATTTTTCATGTTGCATCCTCGACCAGCTTCTCGATTTTGCTCCGGGAGAGCCGACTTTCTCTGATACACCGCCACAAACCGCTTGATTTCACTCGGAACCAGTGCAGCCGGAAGGTCGGCTTCGTCCAGCACCAGGTAACGTACAGACTTCACGTCCACGGCCACCGAGAGGCCTGGCAGGGACGGAAACCAACGCAGTCGCCTATGGAACCATGTTCAACACAGTGGTCATACAACAAAAGCATGGCTTTGGATAAAGCCCTGTGCCGGATATGCGGCTCTGATCCCAAAACTCCTGCTGTGACATGCTCTTCGGCTAGTGGATCAAGACAATGGCGCTCTTTCTGGAGGTGCCACAGAGACGCCAAGTCGCAGCATGGAACAACACATTGTCTTTGGTTGAGGGTGCCCTGTTTGGGGGTGAATTAAAGGGAAAGCAACAAAGAAACCTCATTTTGGGCTACCCCCATTTCGAGACAAACCCGCATGTGAACCATGGGCAAAACCTGTTTTTCCGCAAAAGGACATTGGAGAATTGGGCAGCCCCCCCCATCCTCGCCAAGCTATGGACTACCAATACACTGACCCAGCTACCAGAAAAATCGATTTTCTGAAGCGACCCTTGTCCAGTGCCATGTTACTTGAAAGCGAATCTGGGTATGACTCAAAGGTGAACAACAGGCCTATTTTTGACCCACAGCCATATGTCTGTGGGTCAAAACCCTTGTACCTCTGGTGCACATCAAAATAGGTGGCAAATGGATGTTCATCCACCCCAAAATGGGATCGCCGTAGGTTCTGCCCCATGGCCATATGTTTGTCAGAGAGAACCGGAGGCCTGGAGGTGGCTCCAGCAGGTCGTTCAGCCGGCCAGGAGTGGCCACTAACAGCTGCGGCCTGCCGCCCGCGCAGTTGAAGACGCAAGACGAAGCGCTGCTCCAAGGAAAAGCCGAACAACTGCTAGGCGTCTGAAGTGTCCTTTAAAACAAGTAGCGTCGGTGCAAATCAATGATGAGACCCAAAGCAAAACCAGCGCCATCTACAGCAAAGTGGCCTGAAAAGGACGCCAATGCGAAAGATGCACTCCTATGCTTGCGGGGTTTCGCCTAAAACTGAAAACCCACTATTCAAGCCACGTTGAACGGACACCGGGTAGAGCAACCACAATCTCTATGGCCACGTTAGCATTGACATATGACCCCAACCCCATGTTCAAAAGAAGGAGACTCCCACCACATGGACAAGCACTCCACTTGCCGATCGCCTCTGTCAAAGCCTGGCTCCCTTCGGATGACGCCACAAGCCAAGATCACACATGGATCACAGCCGCATGGAATGTCCAGCTGGTTTCACTGTCAGGAAAGCATTCTCAAAGAGATGGCTGAAAGGGTTGCCGTACTTCCATGTTGCAGTTCCGTTTGCACCAAGGAGCAGAGCCCTTTACGTAGCCATCTACCAACTGGAGGTTGCTCAATTGGGATGTGTTGAATTGCAGGTGTGTTGATGCTGTATAGCGACCATAGTTGCCCTCCCATCCACAGTCATCGAGACGCATCGGAAATACCACCCGTTGCAACAAGCCGAGGCGGTGCCCGTGTCTGTATTCGAAGAGGATTGCTCGAGTTCTTCAGTGTATGGGTGTCCTGTTGGGGGAATAAACCTGACCTGCCGGACGTTGTCCCATGACGATGAGCGCTAGTCACTCCGTTGAAAGGGAACTTCTGATCCATTCAACCTCTGAATCCATTCAAGAGAAGCTTCCGTGCTTGGCCAAATCGGCCCATTTCCCCATGCTTCGCTGGGCCAACCGCTCGCTTTTGCAGGGACTCTGCCTTTTCCCGGTCAATGCTCCAAGCTCTCAAGCTGAAGCTCCGGACAACAGCACAAAACATACTTGGGCGCAAGCTCCTTACACATGACCATGTCAAATCCAAATCGTACCCCCACTGAACATCCCAATCCCCACTAAAATAGACTGAAATGGGTGGTGCATCTACCCCAAGATGGTCCACAGCCGCTTTGGCTCAAGCTCCTTACACCTGCACTGAGGGGCCCAGAGCGGAGGCCAGGGGCGGCATGTTGCGCGCGCCTCTGCCGGAGCTCCGCCAGCTGGGGGCCCTTGGGGGCCCCGCCGTAGAGGCAAGCCGCACGCATGCCCGCCGTCTCCCCGAAGCGCTTCGCCTGCGACCGAAGGACAAATTGGGTTGGATATGGATATGGATCAATGGACGGCTGGCTGGCTGGCTGGCTGGCTGGATGGATGGATGGCTGGATGGATGAAGAGAGACCTGCAGGGCTCTGCGAACGCAAGCCAGCCCTTCCACCGCCGGGCAGCCTCCGCTACACGTCGGCCACCCGGCAGTTGGAGTTCAAGGCCCCGGAGAGGCCACCCCACACAGGCAGTCATGAACAAGGGCGCAGACAGGACAGCTATGGGTCCTTGAACAAGTACAAGCGCAAGACCCCAGTAGTGCCTCACCATTCCCCCATTCCGCCCTGCACCCTAGGCCCAGGATGGGTGTCCAAAATGTGTAAGCTGAGCCTGCACGGAAAGTCTTTGCCAGCAGCAGGCTAAGTTAACAGGTCGGGGTGTTTTGCCCTTCCCCCTGATCTCTGTGGCGGGTTTCGTGCCGCCGCTTGCACTTGATCACCTCTTATGATAGTTGCCCTTATGACCCTTGGGTGCTGTGAAGCCACTACGCAGAAGCTTTGTGCGGCAGCATTCTGTGCTCAAGGGCAGCGTAGCAAAAAAAGGCGGCAAGCTAATTACTCGGGGTGGAAATCAGTCCCTCTGTGAAAGACCTATTCACCGACTGCCCGTGCCTCGGTTTCAATCTGGACTGCCAGCTCACCTGGGGAGTCGAAAAACAATACGCATGCCAACTCTGCATTTCAAGGACAACACCGGAGCCCTCTCTATGCTCAGCTTCGATCATCAGTTGCCCTTCAGGTTCCATTATGTTGAAAGTAGAGAAAAAGTACGTCCCCAATGCAAACACTTCCTCCCTTAAGGTGCGGACAGCTCATGAGACCAGGCAAGTTTCAAGTGTCAATGTTCAAAACTGCAAAGATGCGGGCCCTGATCATGGTTCCCTGAATCGGAATCCTGATCAATGGCGGTCTGCTTCTTTGAAAGGAGATGAAATATGAAAGCCACCCATGCACTGTTGGGGATCCTCCATCTTTGGCACATGAAATGGGTGTCTTTTTTTTAGGGAACTCTTTTTCAAACTTTGCAAAATGGAAACCAAAGAGAAAACCACCCATTCTGAGGGTTCGGAGCCCCAGGTGAAAAACCTCCATGTCATTCTGACTCATGTCTCGTCCACTGCCGGGCTGCGGGTGGGCGCCAAAACCAGCGCCGCCGGAGGGCCTGGCGCAACAGAACTCACTTCTCAAGATGGCCCTTGAGAATTGGTTGGTTTCCTTTCGGTTTTGACTTAAACACCGTTCCAACAGAGGGTTCATCATTCTGAGACACCTGCAAGTGAGTCACAATCAAAGTGCGAAAAGTGTCCGAACACCAGGTAATGAATCAAGAGCATGGATATTCGCACCTAAGTCTGGTTGGGACTATCCCCTAAGCTTCACTTGGTTTTAATCGTGGCTCAAGTCAAGCTCCTGAAGACCTCCAAACTTGGAAGCTTGTGGGCGACTTTTGGAACACCTTTCAAACGGCCTCCTAGCTCATGGTGCTGGGCAGGTGCTCTTGGCAAACTCTCCCTCTCTCGTTCTCACTCCTCTCTCTATCCTCTCACTCCCATAGGTGTCCTTGTTGGGAAAGTAGATGCCCCTGGTAGTTGATTGAATCACCAGGTAAACCAGGGCCCTCTAGTTTTCAACCAAATCAACCAAAAAGGACACCTATCCTCTCACTGTGGCCTCTGAGGTCTACCCTGCTCTCCAGGAGCTGTGCAAAGATCGGCAGCAAGAACGCCAGCGTCTTGCCGGAGCCTTGTTCATGGGATCGGGACACCGCCAGGCAACTTCCGCGCAAGTGTCCCAGGCGGAAAGCTAAGCCGTCAAAGGACATTGATCCAAAGCAATCTCCGACTTTTCTTGAATTGGGCTGAGCGGCCGACCTCTGCCGCACGAGCACGGGACCCATACAGGTGAGCCATAGGCAAAACCCGGTAGCAAAATGGTCTACGCAGAACCATGTAAAGAATTAGGAAGGCGGCGGCGGCCGCAGCTATTTCTGGTTGGGATTGTCCCTTACTAACCTTCATTTACCCCGGTTTTGATTGTGGCTCAGGTACTGTACTTGGGGGAGCCTCTGCCCTCACATGCACTCTTCGAGTGCAATCAACTCTGCCAGTGTCCAGGAAAGGTGCGAACCAAAGCGCAAGGGCCAAACTCATGTTCGATGTCTCAGGAAATGAGGTCAGGCAGTCTGTGAGTCTCCCAGAGCATCCCAGGGCCTAGGCCTGTCTTCGCGATGCCGATCAGATCCCGGCCTGAAGGCAACTTGGCAGCTCAGGTGGTGAGTGCGGCCGGGGCTTGAGGCCCAATCAAATGTACGACACATGCGTCTCAAGCAAAGTTGCAAGGCGGCATGCCCTGCCTGCCGTAAGCATGGGCCAGGAATGCTGCTGAATTGCTGTCGGGGCCTCGCACTGGGAGAGCAATCAGCCACCCCTGTAAGAATGAACTCATGGTCAGTTCTATGCCGCCACAAACAACCTCTCTGGGTTCCTTGCGAGCCCAGAAGTCGCAAATTCAGGCAACTACGTCCGGCTCGCAAAAAAAGCCGCATCTGGCGCCCGGGCAGGAAAGCCGGCTGACACCAAGGGAGCCCTCACGCGGGGCGGGAAGGTGACCTGCGCGAAAGATGCGGCCATTCCATTCGCGCGCACGCGCTAAAAATGGGCTGCTTGCAACATAGGAAACCCGTGAAATTGGTGGTTGATTGGTTTCTCTTACCAACCCAAAAAGAGATGTGACCTGGCCAAGCCTCTTGATTTGAAAACTCAGTTTCAGTATTGCAACTGCCAAAGGGAGCAAACTAGTTACCCTCCCTCCGACAATCACGCTCTCCAACAACCAAGCATGCAAGTCAGAAGGAGCGTGGGTCGCCTGCTGCCAGTTGCGCCACGGCTCCGGTAGAGGGCCTGTCCCACGAACCTGGCGCCGCAAAATGCGTTCAAAGCCCCCAAAGCTATGCCTCAAGCCTACATTCTGCTAGCTGGTACTCCATCCAACTGCAATATTGGGTACTTTTGCGGACGCGCCTCCACCTCAACTTCTGCAGCCGCACCTTGCCATCAAGAACTCAAGTATTAGCCAACCATCAGAAATATCAGACGTGCAGGTCGGCCAGAGCCCTTGTTACCTCCCGCCTCTCACCAAAGGCCAAAGCAGAAAAGAAAAGCTGACCCGGGCCTGCTGGTTCTACCCGCTGTCCACCTGGCCAAACGGTCACAAGCCCCGTGGGAAGTCCTAGGCTTTGTGAGCATGCGAGTTCCAAGATGGTCCTTGGTACGGAAGGGAAACAACGCGACTTGTGACAAGTGAGACTCTTAAGCCCTGTGCAATTTGTCAATACCATGCAACACTGTTGTAAAGCGGCTCGCCAGCCGTTCATGATGAGCACTCTTGCATGTTGTGCCCAGTGGTGCGTTGTTTGACCCTCCCCTCGCCACCCCTCATTGTCTTAAGAAACGGCTGCTTTCGCACTCTGCACCAACCAGTCACACCCAGCACTCCACCTTGAAAGGGCCAACTTTTGGACCCTTAAGCCTTCTCCCACAACACAAATCCCCTCCTTTTGTTTTTGGCCAACCCTTGCCCGCCGGCCTTGCGAGGCATCATCGGGCCACGCCTCCTATGCGAGGCGTCCGCAATGGCAAGTCCCAAGGTTTCCCCCTAGGTGCAAGGCCCCGAAGCAAAAAGTGGAGACACAGCCTTCCCTCACGATATTCAGAGTTCCAGAGTGGCTGTGTGAAAGCTAAACCACCTCTATTCACAATCGTGACATGGAGTCTGCATGGACGACACAGACACCTGCAGCTGCCCCATGACACAGAGTAATGAAGGGCAATAACAATAAGTAGCCATCAACACACGCACATGCTGATTCGCCAATGCAAACAAACGCGCACGCGCGCACACACACACACGAAGAAAGAAAGGAGCCTGGTTGCAACCTGCAGCTTGCCAAGTAGGCTCTACTGCACTCTGACCACTTCATATGAGACATCCAGGCAGCATGACTGTTTATTGTGGCCGAAAAGTTGAAAAAGAACGCCTGCGAATCTCTCACTTCTAGCCTCAATAATTCGGCCCCCATACTCTCGCATGCAAGCCGGTCTTAACAGCAAGCAGCACCCACCTCAACAAACATGAAAGCCCATCGCTGGTTCATAGCTGGCTGCATTTCCCATTTCCTAACAACCAGAAATCACTCAGCCGATAACGGCCATGTGCCCAAACCGTTCCCATCCCTTTCTCTGAGGGTCCGACCATGGGCATGTGCCTCTCTGGCAGCGCTGGACGTGTAGGATGTCATTGAAATCCCATAGAGCTGCCTATCCCTCTTCAACCCGTTCCAAACCTGCGCTCTCTCATGGACCTCTGGGTCTTCAGGACTTGGAATCCCAGGCACGGAATCTCGATAACGTCTTGATCGAGCCACCCTCCCATCTCAGCGCTAGCAAGAGCTGACAAGCCATGCCGATGTGGCCTGGAGTCCACGAGCGCGCAGTCCCTGCCAATCACTCGCAGATCAAGCGGTGACCGAGAAATCTGTGGGTCAAAAATGTGCCCAAAATGGCCCCTGGCAAGCGGAAAGGACCCAACCAGCGGTCCCCTAGAGGTTGAATTTTGACCCATGACCAAATCACAATCACCTCAAGGCCGAGCCTCGTGCCGAGCACGGGTTGCCTGACGCCATGCTTGCGTGATCTGCGACATGATCAAAGGAAACCTGCAATTAGGTCGCAGAGCACTTCAGGCACCTGCCTCGGCATGTCCAGTCCGTTGTGCGAGGGAGGACTTTGCCTGCCCAGCGCGCTCCTTCAACCCTTCGACTGCAGCAAGCTGCAATTCACATTTGCCTTTATTGAACAACAGTCCTTCAAATGCGGCATGTATGCGGCCGCGTGCATCCCAAAACTCAGAAGACAACACGGGTGGATGTCAATCAAGGCACAAGCACACTCCTGATGTGTCTGCAAAAGGAAACAGGGGCTGGAACCACCGCAACACACACACACACACACCTCTAGCACCTTTCTCCCGAGTGATCCAACAAGCAAAGGTTGAATCTCCAGATGGCTCCAGCTCTGAGATGCTGCTTGATCTTTTCTTCCACGGCACGCATTTAGCATCCGGGCAAGCTTGCGGACTCTGCTTTGATCCCACAACTGCTGGCCTCGACGTGCTCACGCCATTCTCGTATGAGGGCGGACTTTGCCTGCCATGGAACAGGAGTACGCATGCATGGCAATGGGGTGGCAAGCCACATCAACCAAAAAGTCACCGGGGGGGGGGGGGAGTCCACTGTCAACAATTCACAATTGCTCAGCTGGCCACTTCCAGGAATTCCATGATCAATGTACGCACAGAACTCGAATAGCTTCCATGGCCGGTCTCATGGCATTGCAAGCAGCTCCAGCCTCACGTCCGCACCGCTATCCCGTGAGAGCGGTGTCTGCCTCACGCGCGCTGGCCCTCCGATTGGCTAAACCCAGCCAAATCTGCGAAGCTTGCTAGCAGGCGATGCGTGTCCACTGTCCCATCGTGAAAATTAGCACAGAAAACGTGAACATCAACAGCAAAACGCCTCATCAAAACAGCAAACACCTCATTAACACAAAACGTACAAATTTGCAGGCGGACACTGCTTTGATCCAAACTGGCCTCGGCATACTCATGCCGTTCTCATGCGAGGGCGGACTTTGCCTGCCGTAGCTCCGGCAAGTACTCAAGAATCCAGCACCACCAATTGCTCCCTCATCATATCGCTGCAGAATCAGGAAGCAAACTCCGTAGCATATGTTTGGGATTTAGGAGGATTTGCGCTCCAAGGAAAAGGCGTGATCGATTCAAAACAGCGTCGCAGCGGCGAGCCTCCCCACGTCCATGTAGTCGCGGGGCGGTCCCCTGTGAATGCTCCAAACTTGTTTGGCCGCTGGCCACAGACCGGTGTTGCAAACACTCCATGACTTGCCGCCGAGGCATGGGCAAATCATTTTGTGCATGATTCTCAACACATTTCCCAGTGAGATGTGGAGCACCCTGCCTCGTCACGTCCGCACCATGGTCCCATGAGGGCACAGTCTGCCTTTCGCGGCACAAGCGAGCGCGCAAACTCTGTTCTGCTGGTGCTCATGTTACGCTCATACAGACTTCCCCACAAACAAGCACATTCTTGCCGCGAACGAAGTCTCATGTCAATTGCCCTGGTTGCTTGCACACATCCTCATTTTGGAGCACTCCCATCCTACCTGAATTTCTCGCATCCCCTGCCTTTCAGGCACTTTGCCTGGACCTGAGGCACGGGAAACCTCTCGATCCCGACACTCGAACTCGAGCAGAGAGTGGCACCTCGGGGTGAGACCTGACGACTTTCGCTCACTTCCAGCTTCAACTTCCTTCACTCCAATACTTTGTCCAAACAAGAGTCAGCCTTCTGTCGACAAGAACAGACCAATTCGCCACTCGAATTCAGGGCAGCACATCTTGCGGCTGAGCGCGCTGCTGTCCTCTCTGCCCAACCAGGGAAAGCGAAGGGGCGGATAGTAACCTAGGCTTGGTGTGACCCTCACGTAACGACGTAGGAACCTGGAAGCTACAAACAGATCTAGAAAACTGAAATGGAAAACCCCTTGTGTTTGTTCTCCCTCAACCTACGGCTCTTCCGAATATGATCAATCTATTCAGATAGGCTTTGGCAGCGCACTGCTGCAGCAGGTCGAAATACTTGCAGCTTACTCTGAGGAACGAACTCTAGGCGGAAAACGCAGCACAATCAACAGGACAATTCCGCGCGTCGCTTTCGACTTCCTGCCATCCCTTGTCACCAACCAAAAGGCTGAGGGTGCGTTGCAGATTGGAGGGGCCGACAAACTCCCACCGGCTCCAAAACATAGTTGCATCTGTTCCAGGTTTTGCTCACCATATTGCGCTGGCCTAGGCTGGCTAGCCGCTAGCCGGGGAGCTGTGGTCAGCACGCTCATGACATGGAGGGCACGCACGACCCGTGCCCCTCTACTGCTTTGGATGCAAAAACTGAAGTTGTTCATCAGGACATCGAAAGGAAACCTCCTAAAGTCCCCTGTCAGAAGGGATGCGAAAAGCAAAGCTCCGGATGGTCGGCATGTCTTTCTGACCATGTCTCGTCTAAGAGCTCATCGCTTTATGTTCGGTGGCAACTTTGCAGTGCTCAAACTTCCGAGGGCACGGGGCAAGTCGCTTTCCCCTCTGAGGTGCGTGCTGCCTCTGCCGTGCTCAACACCTGGGACGTGGCGTCGGAGTCCCAGGAGCGAGCCAACGAGCCAACTAGCCAACCGCGCAAATCTCTGAGTCGGAAAACGAAGCATCTCAACCTGTCGGCTTTGCCAAAATTTTCCAGCCACTATGCTTCCTCTGAGGCCATAGCGGCGCCGTGGTGTGTCCAAGGATATCGGCAACTCTGACTATCTGTGTATCTCAATGCATGCGTGTATGCATGCATGCATGCATACATGTGTGCATGTGTATATGTATGCATGTATGCATGTAGGTAGGGGCGCACGCACGCACGATCATGCGCACGTATGTGCGTACGCGTGTATATGTGAAGGTGTGCTCTTGCATGATCCTACACCCCAAAAACCGTAAGCCCTAAACTCTAAAATCTGAACCCTGGCAAACCTAAACCTTACACTCTGAACACCCTAAACCCTAAACAAAGTAAAAGCCCGAACGCCCTGCAAATCTAAACCTTGAACACCCTGCGCCCTAAAACTCTAAACCCTAAAAGCCTTAAAACCTAATCCTAAAAACCCAAACCATAATTCCGGATGGGCAGAAAGCAACCTTGTGGGCGAGACGCAGACTTTGTATATGGTGTAAGTATATTATGTGCACGCACTCACATGCACGGTGTGTGTGTGTGTGTGCGTGCTTGTGTGTCTGTGGATTCGTGTGATGATGCTCTGCGTGCGTGCGAGCGTGCGCTTGCGTCTGTGCGCGTGTGCGTGGGCGTGGGGGTGCGCAAGCGCGCGTGGGCAAGCACGCGTGCGCGTGCGTGCGTGCGTGCGTGCGTGCACGTGCATGCACGTGCGTGCCCGTAGGAACGTGCGGGAGCGTGCGCATATGCGTGTGCGCGCGCGTGCACGTGCATGCGCGTGCAAGTGCGCGTGCGAGTCCGCCTGCGCCGTGCGCGTCCGTGTGCGCGTGCACGTGCACGTGCGAGCGTGTGCGTGTGCGTGCGCGTGTGCGTGTGGGTGTGGGTGTGGGTGTGGGTGTGGGTGTGAGTGTGGGTGTGGGTGTGGGTGTGGGTGTGGGGGCGTGGGTGTATGCGAGTGCGTGCGTGCGTGCGTGCGTGCGTGCGTGCGCGTGTGCGTGCGTGCCTGCGTGCGTGCGTGCGTGCGTGGGTGGGTGGGTGGGTGTGTGTGTGTGTGTAAGTGCAAGTGCAAGTGTAAGTGTAAGTATGTGTGCGCGTGTGCGTTTGTGCGTTCGAGCTTGCTTGTGCGTGTGTGTGTGCAATTGTGATTGGTTGTGCTTGTTTGTGCGTGCATTTACGCGTGTTGTGTGCTGCTCGTGTGTGTGTGTGTTGTGTGTGTGTGTGTGTTTGTTTGCTTGCTTGATTGCTTGCTTGCGTGCTTCCTTGCTTGCTTGCCTGCTTGCTTGCCTGCTTTCTTGATTGCTTGCGCGCTTCTTTGCCTGTTTGTTTCTTTGCTGAGTTGCTGCCGTATTTCCTTGTGCCTGTGTTTGTGTGTGTGGGTGTTTGTTTGTTTGCGTTCTGTTTACGCGCTTGTTTGCTTGGTTGCTTGGTTGGTTGGTTGGTTGGTTGGTTGGTTGGTTGGTTGCTTTGTTCCTTCTTCTTTACTTCTTTGATTCTTACTTTATGTCCTTACTGGTTTATTGTTTCATTAGCACTTTACTTATTTCTGTCGTTCCTTCTTCTGATCATTTTTCCCGACATGTCTTTCTTTGTTTCCTTTCTTTCTTTCTTTCTTTCTGTCTGTCTGTCTTTCTTTCTGTCTTTCTTCTTTCTTTCCTTCCTTCTTTCTTTCTTTATGTCCTTCTGTATCTCTTCATTTATTGCTTGTTGTCTTTCTTTCTTTCTTTCTTTCTTTCTTTCCTTCCTGGCCTTCTTTCCGTCTTTATTTATGTTTTTCTTTCTTTCTTTCTTTCTTTCTTTCTTTCTTTCCTTCCTTCCTTCCTTCCTTCCTTCCTTCCTTCCTTCCTTCCCTCTTTCTGTCTTTCTTCCTTCCTTCCTTCCTTCTTCCTTCCTTCCTTCCTTCTTTTTCTCTCTCTCTCTCTCTCTCTCGCTCTCTCTCTCTCTCTCTCTCTCGCCCTCTCTCTCTCTCTCTATCTCTTTCTCTTGCTCTCTCGTTGTTTCCTTCATTCGTTATTTTTATCTATTTCCTTCTGCTTTATTTTGTGTGTGTGTTTGCATCTGTTTGTACGTGCACGACTGTGCTTGTACTTGTTAGTACAAGTTTGTATATGTTTGTGTGTGTGCTTGTATATGTTTGAATGTGTTTGTACCTATGTGTACGTGTGTGTATGTCGTTGGGTGTGTGTGTGTGTGTTTGCGTGTGGCATGTGTGGGTGTGTATGTGTATGTGTGTGTGCTTGTTTGATTGTTTGTTTGTCTGTGTTTGTTTGTCTGTCTGTCTGTCTGTCTGTCTGTCTGTCTGTCTGTCTGTCTGTCTGTCTGTCTGTCTGTCTGTCTGTCTGTCTGTCTGTCTGTCTGTCTGTCTGTCTGTTTCAAGCAGCTTGCTTGCATTCTTGCCAGTTTGCTTGTTTGTGTGATTCTTCGTGCCTTCGTATATTTGCGTCTTTGCTGCTTGGCTTCCTTGGTCCTTTGCACCTTTGTTCCTTTGTTCCCTTTGTTCCCTTTGTTCCTTTTCTCCCTTGTTTGCTCGTTTCGTTGTTTTGTTTATTTGTGGCTTTGATTTCAGTATTTGCTTTTGTGTGCCTTTGTTATTTGTGGATTCTATCCTGTATTACTTTGTTTTGTGTGCATTTGCGTGTTGTTTGTTCCTTTGTTTCTTGGTTCTTCTATTTCTTTGTTTGTTGCTTTTTGTAGGCTTCTTGCATTTGATGGTCTGGTTGAGTGACCGTTTGATTGATTGACCAACTAAATGGTTGTTTGTCTGATTATTTGCTTGTTTGTATTTGTTTTGTCAATTCGCCTCTCGTTTTGTTGTTGCGTGTGTTTGTCTGCGGTCATGGTTGGTTCGTTCATTGGTTCGTTGGTTGATCGGTTCGTTGGTTCGTTGGTGGGTTGGTTGGATGCTTGCGCGCTTGCCTTCTTGCTTGTTCAGCTTCGTGCTTGCGTGCTTGCGTGCTTGTTTTTGCGCGTGTGCGTGCTTCGTGCTTGCTTGTTTTCGTGCTTCGGCTTGTGCTTGCGTCTGTGCGTGTTGGCTGATGGGTACCGTATGCGTCTCATGCCCCGCCGTTCGCGGTGCTTCGAGGCATGCAAGACGTGCGTGTCTCAAGCGAGAGCAACGCAGACGCGTAGGGAAGCGGCGAGGGCAATCCCAATCCGCGGCAATCTTCATGAGCGACCTCGGTCAAAGCCATAGCCCCTTCCGACTTGAGTTGGCTGTGTCGGTTTTTGAGGGAAACTCCCCAAAACAAGTGGTTTCCTATTAAAGGGGAAACCCCAGAAAGAGTACCCTCGACAGGAATACAAACCCATGTCTCCCTTAACTTCAAGCTGCCTCCAGACTGGCGGACCTACACAGGATTCAACAAAGTCCAAAGATGCTTCCGACGACCACAAAGGGCAGCTTGGCGATACATACTTTTAGCCACACAGACCCCCCTCGTCTCCCAAGATTCGCTGAGCCACCGGGCTGCTCAAAGCACGCTCAGGATGAGTTCTTTCTCATGAGTTTAAGAAGTGCTCTTGATTTGATCTCTGGCCGAACCAAATTTGCATCTGGGAAGCGGTCCTATAGTAGGCTGACTGATGGCTTGCGTGATAGAATACAGTTCTGGTTGATATTGGACAGCTGGTCTGGCTGCCCGGCTGCACATTTGTGGCAGTTGACGATACCTGGGTCCAGCGGTTGCTGCCAGTGGTACTTGCCTCAACCATTGGCTTTGCTCGCCGGCAGGCAATTTCCAGCTTGAGCCGAAGCATGCCAAAAATGAAGATGCCCAGGCTCCGCTCAGCCCCTTAAGGACCCAGAGACAACCTTCACCTTTTGGGGCCACTGGACCAAGACGCAGGTAAAACCGGAAGGCCAAAAGCTCGGCTTTGGCTTTGGCCAGGGACTGAGGTCAATCAACTTGCAGTGGCCGGCCAAAAAAGGGGAGCCAACCCCAAAGTGCATGACGCTCATGCCCATGTGCAGCCACGTCTGCAACTGCTGCGCTTGCCTTTCTTCAACCCATGGGCGCCAATTCGAGGGGAAGTTGAGCACCTCCGCGCGCAAGCGCGGCATGGCGAGCCGAGGCCAATTTTCCGCATCAAGGAAGATGTGGGTTTGTATAACATGTGATGACCCTCAAAATGGTGGGGTTCCCTTGGATTTGACACAGACACGCAAAAAAGCAAATGCACCCCCCTCGGAGCGTTGCGGCGTTCCAAGATAGTCCAAACAAATTGTGAGCCGTTCCTCTCAAAGATACTGATGGCAGTTTCACATATCGTCACATCGCATGTACTCAGATCCATTTGCAACCAAAAGCGCATTTCGTCTCAACATGTCATCGCAGCACACGCATCAAATGCGTCCGCTAATGTGATGTAGCGTGTCGACATTCACGGCGTGCGATGCAAGTACTTACTTTGACTTTGGACTGAGATCAACTCAGAAAAGCTTGCGACGCTGAACAGGCCCAATTTGTGAACCGCGAAACTTCTTAATCCGGTACATGGTTCTGGGTAGACCATTTTAGTACCAGATTTTGATTGCGACTCAGATGTGATGATAAGAAAATGCATGCAAACGCGCAGCGCATCCCAAACGGAAGGTCGAGCGTTCCTTTTCACTTCACAGAGACATTCTGCGCTACAGGGCAAGTAATGCCGTCACACGTACACTGCATGTCATTGCAAGACCATGCCATCGCAAATACATCACCTTTCGCATGTTGCAACTCAACGACGCCCGCAAGTTCGTGCCATCAGAGTTGCATGTTACTAGCATAAGTGCGATATCACATATACATGTTATGTTGCATTCTATTGTGAATGACAGGTCATCGCCCCGGGCGGCCGGTACAAGTAGGGTGCAGGGATTCTGGCTCGCATCGCTGAATGTGCGGCGCAGCACACGGTCGACCCTTTGCGATTCAGTGCTTCAGGCAGCACGTGGGTTTCTGACTTGATTCGTGGACCAAGAACCCCTTTGCCTGGATTCCATTCGGGTAGATTTCGGCTCTTCGGAGCGCAGCGGTTTCTGCAGCTATTTCTGGTTGGGATCGTCCCTGACTAACCTTCATCTACCCGAGTTTGATTGTGGCTCATCTGGTATTCTAGCACTGGTGATGTTTTGCGCGCATCTGCCAACTTAGTAGTGTAGCTAAATGCGGGAATGTATGTGGATGCTCCATTCCGATAGGTGTCCACTGCTGCCTTGAGCTTGCAGTTGATTTTGCAACCAGCCTGGCTGCTTTGGCACGTGCTGAAACTGGGGCGCTGCATTGGGCCTGGCAGGCAAGCAAACAACAATGCAAGTGGACCAAACATGGTGTGGCTTGGCCATCAACTGTCACCGCAACCGCTGGCCTGAACGAATCAAACCAGGTCTACCGGTCATCGTACAAAACTGAGCGCAACACCAAAACACATGTGGGGGAGACCCGGGTAGTACATGCTGAGGTTCCTGCTGTTGCTGCGGGCCGGGCGGCACATGCTGCGGTTGCTGCTGCGCAACCTGCTGGGGCTGAGGTTGTTGCTGCTGTTGCTGCTGCGAAGGTTGCTGCTGCTGCTGCTGCCCGGGTGGCATGTGCTGCGGTTGTTGCTGCTGCTGCTGCGGCCCAGGCGGCAACTGCTGCTGCGGTTGCTGCTGCGTTTGCGCTGCCTGCTGAGGTTGCTGCTGCTGTTGCCCAGGCGGCATATGCGGCTGCGGTTGCTGCTGTGTTGTCTGCTGCGCTTGTTGCGGCTGCTGTTGTCCAGGCGGCATATGCAGCTGTGGTTGTTGCTGCTGCGTCCCGGGCGGCATATGCGGCTGTTGCTGCTGTGGTGCCGGCTGGGGCTGTGTTTGCTGCTGGTGCTGTTGCTGCTGCGAAGGCAGCGATTGCTGCTGCGGCCCAGTCGACATATGCTGCGGCCCGGGTGGCATATGCGGCTGTGCTTGTTGCAGGGGCCCGGGCGTTATTTGCGGCTGCGCCTGCGGCTGCTGCTGCTGCTGCTGCTGCTGCTGCTGCTGCTGCGGCTGCGAAGGTTGCTGGGGCTGCGGTTGCTGCTGAGGCGCGGGCAGCACATGTTGCTGCGGTTGCTGCTGCTGTGGCCCCGGCGGCATTTGCTGCTGCGTTAGCTGCTGCTGCGGCCCAGGCGGCAATTGCTGCTGTGGTTGTTGCTGCTGCGTCCCTGGCAGCACTTGCTGCTGCGGTTGCTGCGGCTGCGGCCCAGGCGGCATATGCTGCTGCGGTTGCTGCTGCTGCGGCCCAGGCGGCATTTGCTGCTGCGGTTGCTGCTGCTGCTGCGGCCCAGGCGGCAATTGCTGCTGTGGTTGCTGCTGCTGCGGCCCAGGCGGCAATTGCTGCTGTGGTTGCTGCTGCTGCGGCCCCGGCGGCAATTGCTGCTGCGGTTGCTGCTGCTGCGGCTGCTGCTGCTGCTGCGTCCCTGGCGGCATATGCGGCTGCGGTTGCTGCTGCTGCTGCGGCCCAGGCGGAATATGCTGCTGCGGTTGCTGCTGTTGCGGTTGCTGCTGCTGCGGCCCAGGCGGCACATGCGGCTGCCCTTGCTGCTGCTGTGGCCCGGGTGGCATATGCTGCTGCGGATGCTGCTGCTGTGGCGCAGGCGGCATTTGCTGCTGCGGTTGTTGCTGCTGCGGTGCAGGCGGCATATGCGGCTGCGGCTGTTGCTGCTGGAAGGGCAGGGCAGACCTCGGCGTTCATTCATAAGTACAGTCTTGAGCTTCTGTTTGTCTTCTGCGGTTTTGGGCGAACACGAAGTAGCCCAGGGAAGCAAATGAGCACAAAGTAGATCACGATGTACCCAAAGCACCCGGAAACACAACTCGGGTGAAGCTGTGGATGATGACCGGGTTGAGGAAGTGACGGTTGACAAAGGAGAAGTATGGGGATGTTTGAAATCAAGTTGAAGAGGATTAAGTTCAATACCAAGCCCAAGTAGAACAGCGCGACCCACCGAGCACCTCCTACACCCAGCCGCCCGCGGCCCCGACCCTTTTCGGCTCGAGGACGAAGAAAGCTGCCAGTGAATGGCGCTCGAGCGTGAGTCCTATTCCCACTTGACGGGAGGTAAAAACTTGAGCCAAACGGCCATTCGGCCGTTGAGCCATATGAAGAAACAACACGTGAACAAAACACACCCCCCTCATCCGATATCTGGACGAGAGAAAGGATGCGAGACAGTTGAGTTCACGACGAAAGGGACCAACCAAAAATGCCGGTGTCAACTCAGAGGTGAGCCAAACGGCAGCACCTGGGCCCCAGTTAAAATCCCGCCACCACCCCGAATTAGCGGGGCGACAGGATTATTTGACGAGTGGGCCACATGAGTGAACAAGGACATATTGGAGGAACCAGACGAAGATTCCTCTCGTGCCGTTCATGCATTGTCATGGGACAACAACATGCGGAGGGGGACCCTATCTGGATCACCGCGCCTCACTGCACGCCGTGAAGTGGTTGGAGGAGTAATCGAGTTGGGAGGAAATAGGAAAGGGACGTTCCGAAATTGGTGTGAGAATATCCGGCTACGGCCGGCCCGGCACTTCTAGTGCGGTCACAGCCTCACACAGGATCGCCAGGGGAACCGTCTCCAGCGCGCACGGCAGCGGTGCGGGAGGGACACGAACAACGCCGGATCAGCGGTACAGGGCAATGGAGACCATCACCCCCAGCAGTGCCGCATGGGCGAGAGGAGGATCGGCGCGGTCGCGTTTTTCGGCGACACACGTGTCATCCTCGCCCTTCTAAGGCGGATGCTGATTGCGGTACCTGCCTACCACCCTGAACCGGGTTCTTCCCGGTCTCTGGGCGCGTCGTCTCTCCGGCGTCCACCGCGGTCACCTCGATCGCCTCCTCCATCCCGACGGCGATCCTCACCACCACCCCTACTGCGGTCGCCAGCCGGAGGTCGGCGAGGCGGAGGGGGATCTGATTGGTGACGTCGGTCATCCCTGCGACGGTCCCGGTGGCGATCGCGACGGTCTTCAGCCGGGCCATCACGTCCGCGGCGCTCATCTCGCCCCGGACCGCGCCTCTCGGAGGGCTCTTCATGACGTGGAGGAGGTCGGCGATCATCGCGTCGGCCTCCGCGGGTATCCCTGCCACGATCATCCCTTTGTCGGGGCGGGCCAGGATCCTCGCGTCCACCTTTGCCAGGTCGATGTTTTCCTCGACCCTTCCCCTCACCCTTAGGGCCGCGACGATCCTCGCGGGCCCCAAGCGCGGTCCTTGATCGATCGTCATCTCGGTGGGGCCGTGACTCATTGGCCGCACGAGTGGTCCGAGGCACGCCCGGGGGAAGCTCCCACTCTTCGTCGTCGTCATCGCGCGGGTCATAGCCGCCACGGCCGCCCAAGGAACCAGTGGCATCCCGACGCGGGAGTTCCGGGACCGCCCGATCGAAGACGAACCCGGGGAGTCGCGCCCTCGCCGGTAAAAGGGTCCTTCTGGGTGTAGAAACCCTTGGTTCTGCCCCTTCTCTCCCCCCCTTCCGCACCGCTTCTCGCGGGGACCGGGGATGGACGGGCAGGCTGGGCCATGCTCTTAGAGCTGGGTTGCCCGCCAGGCGGGACATGAACGCCCCCCTGCCCTTTCTCGGGCGCAGGGACCCGACCACGAGATGTCCTCCTGGCCTTGGGTTGGTCGGTGTCACCCTCCAGCTCGGACTCGGTGTCAGGGACACGAGTATTGACGGCCATGTCCTCTTCCTCAAACGGATCCCCAGCCGTCGTAACGCCTGCAGCAATGGGAGCGGGGGGAGGAGGAGGAGGAGTTGGCACAGCTTCGCCAGAACCGACGCCTGTGTGTGACACCGCGGGAGTCTCCGGTTCTACCGGGACAGGCGGCGCAGGAGGAGCCGGGGGCGGTGGCGGAGGGGGAGGGATCTCCTCCTCGTCGTCGCCCATGGGCTCGTCAAGGTCGTCAGGCTTCTCGTCATCTTTGTGTGAAGATCCATCCGATCCTAGCTCATCCTCCGCTGATCCAGCAAAGTCGGGCTCGTCTTCGTCTTTCACGCCGGGGCCTGGTGTAAGGCGAATTCCGGGCCGATGGCGATCGCGGGGTCGGAAGCGGTATTTCCTTGGTACAGGATCGGCCAGCTCCTGTTTGATGTCGTCCTGGGTCTGCGGACGGTCGGCCAGGCATGTGTCGTAGGCAACGGTGGACGTCCGGTAGATCAGATCATCCATACTGCTGAGGTCGTTGAGCGTGTAGACGTATCCCTTCTTAATGCCTTCCCGTATCGTGTCCATAGCTTGTTTGAGACGCGCGGCGGGATCGAATCCGGCCTTCCTCCGCATGGCTTGCATTATCCCACAGTGTTGTGCGAGCAGCTCCACCTGGGCCTTGAACGCCTCCCCGGACACATCGTTGGGGAGTATTGGAGAAAGGTGCCCTGATCTCAGCCCAATGATATGGGCCTCAACCATGTAGTAAGACGTGTAAAAGCCGCAGCGGTTGGCGTTGAAGTTTGCGGTGGTTAGGCGTCTGCCCCACTCAGCCGCATATCCCTCATATTCTTCGAAGAAGTCGGGGACGGAGCTCCCGTTGAAGGCAAGACCCCTTACCAAGATCGCCTTTGCGACCCACTCTTCCACGTTGTGGTCGACAGTGTCACGGTACTTGCCGTCAAGAACTTCGTCTCGGAGCGAGTCGTGAAGTTTCCGGAAAATGCCATCCACGTCCTCTTTGTCGAGGTACTTAGGAGGCCGCATCCCAGACATCAACAAGGACCGGGCATCAACGGCGGGACTCTGTGAGTAGAGGGCCATTCCGATGGCGTTGGCGTCTGCGTTGTTCCACAGAGCGGGGACGACGCCCCCGTATTTCGCCAGCCAGGGGGGAATCACCCCGTCGGTGCTCGCTATCGTGCGAGGGCCGCCGTTCGTGTCTCCGGTGGGCAGGACGCCCTCATAGAAGATGGGAAGGTAGCAGGCGGTGCATAGGTGAGCGCCGATCGGGTGGGCCGTCATGCACCTATGGCATGGAACGGACAGCACCTCGCGGACATGCTCCGCCTTGGTGATCTGGTGATACTTCTCCATCTCGTCCCGACACTTCCTCGGGTTCTCACTCACGGAGTTGAGGAAGTTGGGCGGATAGCACCAAGGCCTCAGGTAAATGATGGAACAGTCCTCCTTGAAGTAGACGCATCTCCAGTACCCGATCGCGATGTTCTCGCGCGATGCAAAGGTACCCTGACGAGTAATATGCATGCCCCCATTTTCCATGGAGAAGAAACGCGCATCGATAGCCATGACCACATATCGGGGATCGCTCCTCTGGCGTCGACCCGAGGTGTGCAGCTCCGTCACGTTGCTGTCAGTGATGCGGTCGACAGTGTCGTTGGGGCATTCACCGTGATCGCGGAGGGATTGATATTCATCCGGCCTGGAGGGAAGGAGCTCGATCAGGGCTCGCCCACCCCGAATGATCGCCCCACGTTCTACGTAGAGCCGATACATCCGGAGAGGCACCACCTTGTAGAGTGTCTTGGGAACCACCTTAGAAGTGATAGGAAGACAAACAGGGCTCTCGTAGAGCATGTATTGATATCGTTCACGAAATGCTCGGTAATCTGTGTCGGATCCAATCTCAAGCGACCTTACCGCCGCTATGCGGGCGGAACCAGGCAGCAATCGACGATCCTTGTCACGAATGACGGTGATGATGATCTCGAACATTCCCACCCCGTCTTCGAGGAAAGAAGACAAGAGGTACGATGAAAAGGCATCCTCAGACTCGACGCTGGTCCCGAAGTAGTGGCTCAGGAACTTCTTCAGTTGTATCACCGAAGTGACGTTCCCTTGCCCGCTGGCAGACGAGGCCTCCAATTCTGGGTCCTTGACCGCGCCTGCATTTCCAGGCTGCACGGCTGTTCCACGGAGCGCGTCGCGTATTTCCGCGCATGCTCTCCTGTAGTAGTGCGAAGAGGCGCCCGTCCTACTCTTCACCTTCTGACGGATCTCGTCGGCGAAGTAGTCCAGAAGCTCCTCGGGCGCGGGAACAATGGCCTGGATCATCAGGTCAGGGTCACTCCTGGTCGGGAGGATAGGTCCTGCTCTGGATCTCACTCCCATCTCCAGGAATCGGGCAATATCCCCGACCTTAGCGCACAGAGTAGCGATCGTGTTTCCGATCCTGGGGGCGATATCTTCGCCTCTCCTGGCGCCGAGGATGACCACATTTTTCTTGATGGACTCCTCCTTCAGCCTCTCGAGGTTTCGCCGGGTGTCTTCAGTGCCCTTCACCGCGCTGAGGCGGAGAACAGCAGGCTCCGGTTTGTCCGGTCGCACGAGCTGGCCGTCGGGAATCTGGTCAAAGATACGCGAGGCGGACTTCACTGCTGGGACGTTCCTGTACTGATCCGGCACGCTGTAAAAGGCGTAGGCGAGAGTGTCATGCGAAGATGTCTCCCAATACGTGTACTCCTCGGAATCACGCGGGTCACCGACGACGCGACTCACGGTCCTCAGCGCGGCCAGAGCACGCTCCGCCTCGAACTGCGAGCCGATGGTCGTGGGCAGCATGGCCCTCTCCTCCTCCGTGCAGTCGACGTATATGAACTGACCGGTATGCAGGTCCCTGGGCGCGGCGAATGGCCCCGCAGTGTCATGAACACCCAGCAGAGTGCTTCTCGCCTCGACCTGGCTAGGGAGCGCATCCGCAGGAGGATGGGCGGGCTTGGCAGG